TGCAATTAAGAAAATGCTGGGATGGTGTTGGAAACACCTTCTGTGACATCTGTCTTCATTTCTTTTGCAGGTGCAGTTGTGGGACCCCATCCACCCCTCACTAGATTACATCCTCACCTCTATATGACCTTATTGCTGCTCACACTCTATGTCCCACGATGAAATCCAAAGACGATGGAGGAGTGGCCCCTCACGACCTGAAGCACCTGCTCGGTTGGGAACCGAACTTGAGGCAAATTCAAGGGGCTCTGCCAACAGGACTGCTAGTGTCTCCCTGGGATAGTGCAGGACAATGGAAAACTGGGACATGTCTGGTTTTTGGTGGGATGTACTCCTCTCCTTTCTAGGACAGTGGCTTTTTTTGCAGGAGAAGGTGATTTGGACGCTGGTGGGTCTCGGCCAGCCTCCTAATTCACTGCGGATTCACGAGCCACAGAAAAATCAAGAAAACGAAGCCCCATAGCCCAAGCACAGCCACACAGACAGGCCACCAAAAAGTCGGGAGACTCAAAAACAAAAAAGCGCTGAAGTTCATTAGCCACATTCCTTAAAGCAGACTTTAATTACAGGTATGCACGCGCACACACACACACTGTAGACATCCAACCCTTGCAACACTCCCACAGAAACGTTCAGCCCAGGAGCTTCTGAAGCTGCATGAGTCTGCAGGAAGCCCCACCAGGGAGAGAGCAACCCCAGGGAACACAGGTGGGCTCTACCTAGACTTCACAGTGGGGCAAGATTCAAAACACACCTCTACAAAGTATAGGCAGGCCTGAGGCGTCCTGTAAATCTTTTTGGATCCCAGGGATTTCGCAGTTTATTCCTTGGGCCAGATCTGCTTGGTGTTCCTTCAGGCTGGCTCAGGTCTACCCTCTCCTAGGATAATGGAACTATCCCATGGATCCCACAGAGAAGACAGGCAAAAGTCCACCCCCGATGCACCTCCACGGGGGTCTCCTCCACCAAGCTGCAGGGACTTGTGACTAGGCAACCGTGACATCCATTGTGATGCTAGCCAGAGCTCACAGCTCAGGCCTGATGCCCTGTGACAAGCACATGCACATTCGCGAGGCAGGCTCGGGTGCCCAGCTATCAAGAGCTGTCAGCCTGCCTACCCAGAAAAAAATGGTACAGGCAGAGTGTGCCTGGTATCGGGGGAAAAAACTGCCTGCGATAACCCACCGCGGGACCTAAAAGTCTTGACCTTAGAATCCCTTCTGGCTGTGTCCGTCATCGGGTCACTCTGGAGGAGGAGGGGTTTTGAGAGTGAGAGGTGCTGGCTGGAAACTGCTCTTCTGACTCCATTTCCGAAAGAGGCTGTGTGCAACAATTGGGTCCCATGGGGAATGCAATATAGTCTGGTAGTTGTTGAGGAGTCCTTGGGAGATGGAATCATACCTGATTCCCCAGAGGTGGGTGAGAGGGAAAGATGGCCCAGCCCTTTACCTTACTGCCTCCCTTCATCCTGGGCCTCGCATGGGCGCTCTGGGAAAGGCAGGAACCATGACAAAGTTAAATCTAAGGAGAAGCAGTGTTCTCACACCTCAAACTGACCTCTCACGTGTGCAGATGAGGTTGAGACAGTGTCTCAGAGGCCACCTGTGGCGACTGCAGGCCTGCAAATGCTGCCCAGTAGTGCTGTTGAGGGAAAATGTGGATTCCCCATGAAAGCGAAGAAACATCAAGGCTTGCTTGAGAGAATGAGCTCACTTGCGCTGGAATCCAAGCAATGTTGAAAGATTCCTGTCACAGGACCCAAAAACCTCCTGTAAAGTGCAAACAACCTCAGTGCCCACAATGAGACCAGGAACCACAACATGGAGTGCAACCAGCCCACCAGAAGTCCCTCTTGCTCCTTGAAATCCCTGCTAGCCAAAAGACCTGTGATGAGAGGCAGTCCCGTCCAGCAACAGGCCAATGAATGACCCACTCCACAATGAGAAAGGATGTGCGGATACAAAGAAACAGAGCCTAGATTACCAGGCAAAAGCCAAACACGGTTCTCTGCTTCTCATCCTATAGGAATCATGCAGCCCTCTGATAAAACTGGGAGAAGAAGAGTTTTCTTGTTAGCGGCTGTAACAGCAATTTATGGTTTTAAAAGTATCACAGTTGCCCACTTGTTAAAATGTGACAGTGTTTAGAAGGAAACACTCATGGAATGGATTCCTATGAGTGTTGTCCTCCGTGAAATGGGAAATGTTTAGTGTGGAGAACTCCCTGGAGGTGCGTCAGTGGTGGACTCTCACCTGTCTTCTCTGTGGGATCCACAGGATAGTTCCATTACCCTAGGAGAGGGCAGACCTGAGCCAGCCTGAAGAAACATCAAGCAGAGCCCAAGGAATAAACCACAAAATCCCTAAGGATCCAAAAAGATCTACAGGATGCCTCAGGCCTACCTAGACGTTGTAGGGGTGAGTCTTTTTCAAAACTTTTTTGAAACTTGCCCCACTGTGATTTCTAGGTATAGCCCACCTGTGTTCTGAGGCTGTCTGGCTCTGCAGGAAGCCCCACCTGGGAGAGAGCAACTCCAGGGGAACACAGAGAAGACAGGCAAGAGTCCACCACTGACGCACCTCCAGCCAAGTCACAGGGACTTGTTAGGCAACCGTGACATGCATTGTGATGCTGGCCAGAGCTCACAGCTCGGGCTTGGTGCCCTGTGACAAGCGCATGCATGTTAATGAGGCAGGCTCAGGCACCTGTCTTAGCTGTCAGCCTGCCTAAGCAGGAAAAAAATGGTACAGGGAGAGCGTGCCTGGTATCGGGGAAAAAAGCTGCCTGCGATAACCCACTGCGGGACCCTAAAAGTCTCGATCTTAGAATCCCTTCGGGCCGTCTCCATGGTCGGGGCCCTCTGGAGGAGGAGGCGTCTCCAGACTGTGGGGTCGTTGCTGGAAACTGCTCTTCTGATCCCATTTCCGAAAGGGGCTGTGTGCAAGAATCAGGACCCATGGGGACTGGAATATACTCTGGTGAGTTGTTGAGTGGTCTTTGGGTGGCAGAACATACCTGATTTCCCAGAGGCGGGTGTCAGCAAAAGATAGCTGGGCCCTTTACCTCACTGTCTCCCTTCGTCCTGGGCGTCACATGGGCTCTCTGGGAAAGGCAGAAACCATGATAAAGGCAATTGCAAGGAGGAGCAATGTTCATACACCTCGAACTGGCATCTCTCGTGTGCAGATGAGGTTGAGACAGAGTCTCAGAGGCTGTCTGTGGAGATTGCAAGCCTGAAATGCTGCCCAGTAGTGCTGTTGAGGGGAAATGTGAATTCCCAATGAAAGCAATGACAAATAAAGGCCCGCCCCAGAGAATGAGCTCACTTGTGCTGGAGTCCAAGCAACATTCAAAGATTCCTGTCAGAGGATCCAAAAACTTCCTGCAAAGTGCAAACAACCTCAGCAGGTGAAAGTGCCATACCCCATGCCCCCCTCACAAGATTGTATGCTCATCCCTATCTGACCTTATTTCTGTCCCAGAATGAAATGCAAAGACGATGAAGGCATGCTCCCTCACACTGTAAAGCACCTGCTCAGCTGGGAACTGAATTCGAGGTAAATTCAAGGGCCCCTGCGTCAGAACTGCTAGTGTCTCTTCCTGGGATGGCTGCGGGACAATGAAACACTGGGAGATGTCTGCTCTCGGGTGTCTTGTGCTCCTCTTCCTTCTAGAAAAGTGGCTTTCTTTGCAGGGGTAGGAGATTTGGACCCCAGCGTGTCTCAACTGGCCTTCCAATTCACTGTGGATTCGTGGTCCA